CCGCCACTGGGTCGCCGCCGCCGCCGCCCGACATGCTGAGGTGTCCCATGAGTGCCGCGAGGCCTTGAGGGTCGTGCGCCGCCGCTGCATGCTGCTGCAGCAGTTGCTGCTGCTGCTGCTGCTGCGAGCCGTAGAACCCGTGCCCGCGGAGCGGCGCCTGCAGCAGCGACGAGGCGGCGGCGTCGGACCCGCCGTGTGGCCCCATCACCGGCGCGGGTCGCAGGGCCTGGGCATGCAGCAGCGACCCGTGCGCAAGCCCATAGCCAAGGGATGGGTGCGGCTGCGGGGCGTGGTGCGGCGCGGCCGACGTGTGCTGCCGCGCGGCGCTGAGGCCCAGGCTGCCTGGGATGCTGCTAGGCTTGGCGCCATTCTTCTGGTCGGGGCATGCTGCCAAAGAGTAGAACGACAACTGGTGCTGCTGCTGCTGCGGGTGCTGCCCTGCCGCCGCCGCCGCGGCGTGCTGCTGGGGCCGCGCGTGCCGCTGCCGCCCGGGGCCCCGCTCGCGCTGGCGGCGCGGCGGCCGGCCGTGCTGCCCGCCGCCACGCGTGCCGCCGCCGCCGCCCTTGTTGTCGCCGCTGCTACCCTCCTGTTGCAGTGCCGCCAGCGCCTGCGGGGGTGCGGCCGGGCGTTCAACTTCGTAATCGCAGCAGCACCAGGGCCTGAGGTCGATTGCATGATGATGGCGGCAATGCGCGCGCAATCCGCACGATCGAGAAGCGACAAACCGTGCGCATGGTGCAAGGCACACGATAACGTTGGAATTGCGTAGAGAAACACGCAGACTCAACCCCGGCATCGGGGTGCCGGCGCGCCTCGCGTCCCCAATAACCTGCTGGGGGTTTAGGCTGTGGATCTCCATGATCTTCTGGAGGTTAGTCAGGGGCGCGTCCTTGGGGTTTAGGCCGTAGCGGCGCAGGAACGCGTTGGACATGCGAGGGACGGTCACGCCCGGCGCGAGCCGCAGCGCGCCCGCAGCTGCAGGGGCGGCCGCGGCGGCGGCGCCGTCGGGGGC